GAACCGCTGTTGTTCAGAGCTCAGACTCTTGAGTGAGCTCTTAACCAACTGAGCCACTCGGCCAGCCCACAAGGACACTCACTTTTAACTGAGCACATAAAGACCCATCTCTATAAACCAGAATGCAAATTTATTAATTTACAAAAAAGAAAATTACGATTGTCACATGGACCATACATTTCCCTCCTCGCTGGGCAAAGTTACAGAATAAGCAAAATTATCAGAAAGCAACTCAATGGAATTGGAAGTAGAGCAAGAGCAGTCAATTAGTGGATCTGAATTTTTAATGGCCCTGAATCATGAGAGCCTGATAATTCACTATTCCAAATAGAGATATACCTTCCACTTAGACCATCTGTGCCTACCCTTGCATTGGGGAACTCTCTGCCCTACCCAAGAATCTCTTCCTATTTCTCTAGCTAGAAGAAAATGTAAAACGAAGCATGTTCTTTTCTATTCTGCTCTACAGGAAACAAAACAGAAAGGAAGTCATTTTTATTATTGACACCATTGGCTGATTCAATCAACAATGACTGGTTGATGAGCTCATGAATTTGCAGACCCTCAAGCTAATTCCATGAACCACCTGGTATTTCTGAGCCAGAAGGTAGAGTACATACTCCAGGCTGACCTTCTGTGTTTTGTTTCCACATTTTTTCCCAATAGGACACTATATGATTACTTAGGTTTCCACTTATTAAATGATAACCACAATCCCTAAGATTATCCTAATTTGGATTTATCATGGAATAATCTACCACACATTTGTAATCTCTTGATCTGTTAACATAGATGACTATATCTAAGTCTATTGTGCACAAATTTTACTAGTTTAACAACTCTCAGGAACTTTGGATTTGTCCCAAAATACATAATATCACATTTACAATCTCTTGGTTTATTAACATAAACAGTTAATCAAATCCCTTGTGTAAAGTCAACAATTCTTTTACTGAATTGGGCTGGGGGGCTCTCTCTACCCAACCTTTATCAAAAACAATTATGTCTTTTATAATTCATTCCAACTCTAAAATCATACTATTAATTTTTTTCTGTTTCTCAAAATTAAAACAAGAACAACAAGATCTCAGGAACCCTTATGCAAAGGTGATGTTTACGACTCGGTTATAATGCAATTGTTTCAAATACTATCTTTCATATACAATTTCCCCCAAATAGCCACCTTGAGAAATTACAAAAGAAGTTGATTGAAGAGCTAAAAGTACTCTTTCAGATCATCTGGTTCAGCATTCTTTGTCCACAGATGAGGAAATAGAAACCCTGAGAGTTTGACTATTAACTTTCTCACAGTCACATGTGCAGTTAGTGGCAGAGACAGGACTAGAACCTCATTTAAATCTGATTGAAAGCTCTTAAAATTTACAAAACTCCACACCTGCAGCATCATTAAACAGCATACCAGCCTCAGGACAAGGTAAGGTGATAATTTTTTATTGCTATAGCAATAACTCACCATTTTAGAAGTTACTTCTCCATTACACAAGTGTATCAGACCAAGTGTTCCAATTGGGCGTTCAGAGATCATTCATTTGTCCATTTGGCAAATCCATTTACTTGTCCATCTGGCAAACATTTAATGAACATCAGTATTGTGCCAGGAACTATCATAGCTGCTGAAGACACAAAAGTTGCTGTCAAGGAATGCAGAGTCTAGAAGAGGAAGTATTGGGCTGTCGGAAAAGTCATGACGCATTTTTGCAACGAAAAACAGAAAAAATACATCATGACTTTTCCAACAGCCCAATTGATAAATCAAATCTTAGCCAAGACAAATGACTAGTATTTACTGGATGATTAGCATATGCAGGCATGTAACACGGAGTTTTTCATTTAATTCCTCATGACAACTATATACAGTAGCTACTTATTATCCCCACTCCACAGATGAAGTAACTGAGGATTATAAATGTTACCGGAGAGCAGACCCTTCTCAGCGTGGTGTCCAGGTTCTTGGCGCCTCGAGCAAAGAATTGGATGAGACACAGAAATACAGTGGTGAAGGGGCAGTTTATTAGAAGTGAAAGTACACTCCGAAGAGATAGGAGGGGGCCCACGCACAGAGGAGTGGTTCCAAAGGCGCTGACTGGTGAGGACTTGGAGTTTTTATTTTCTTCTCTTCTAGAATGGGCTACTCCTCTCTGATTGTGGGGCTTCTTGATTGATACCTGTGATTGACATTGGCTAATGGTTATGGTAAACAAGGGCAAGTTTGGGTGGAGAGGGGAGGTCTTTTGGGTGGCTATTTCCCATAGACTATGTTGGATGTTCAGGAATGTTACCTGATGCATCCAGGCATCTGGGAGACCCAATTCCTGTCTCTAACTGCCTGCTTTATGTCCTCCGTGAGAGGCGTGATTCCCATAAATCTCTATGAGAAGTTGAGAACAGGAAGTCTCCTTTTCTGTATCTGCTTCCTGCTGAATGTGACCATTGTCTCTAACTATTGGGGATTCACAGGACTCTTGCCCTATCTGATCTTAGATGAGGGGAAGGGCTCTCGAGATCCGCCTGGAGGACCACGTTGACCTCTGTGGTTGGGATGCGCTGGAAGTCTTGTTGGGGTATCTCTTGTATCCCCACGGTCCCTAGATGAGGAGAGATAGGTTTTAGTTAATAGAGTTAAAAGTGTTGGCCCAAGATGCAAGACTCAAAGCCACTGACGCAGGGTGACCACATGATGAAAATTTGTTCAGCTTCATGGAGCCTGTGGCCTTTCTTTTGGTTTAACCCGCCATTCCATTATTGTTCACCTGGGAGCTAGGCCTGGAAAGAACACTGTGCTACAATGACCATAGTCAACAAGCATAAATCAACAAGCTTTAGGGTAATTATCTAAAGCAGTGGGTAGGAGATTTCTATGATTCAGGTTAAAAACAATCTATTGCTTATGATTAAGAAACTGATTTGAAAAATGATTCTAACCAGGGGCTACAGAGCTAAAACACCAGGGAAAAGGAGACTTAAGAGTTTTTATAGTGAGAAGCCTGTTCATGTGGCCCATATCATACAGCAGCGGTTCTCAACCTTCCTAATGCCACGACCCCTTAATACAGTTCCTCATGTTGTGGTGANTGAAGCGATGTCCTCCACAACTAGACTGAAGAACAAAACAACAGCAACTTGTCTGTTCCCATCCCCCCAATTCCCCAATAAAAATCTTTTTTAAAAAAGACCTATTCAAACCAGTTTGCAATAATGTCTAAGCTACTATTAATAAAACCTAAAAGGTTACTCCTTGTAAACCTTAAGTATCCTTCCCTTGAGATCAAAATCAGGAATAAACCCTTCATCACTGATATAGACAGGCCGGGGCAATGCACACTGATCACTCATTACTAAAGTAAACTTACGGGGTTTAAAGGATTTGAGATTCATCTCTGAAGACAAGATTTTATTCATGCCAAAGTAAGGATTTTTGTGTGTGACAATTCAGAAACTAAAAGACTTTTTTTTTTGCCCTAAAACCTTGAAAAACAATACCCATTTCCTTATACAATTTCATCTTGAGCTCTAGACAATACTCGACTGCTCATAATCTACACTGCTCTTTTTTATTTCCAAACGCTGACAATGTCACAATTCAGGATGGCGCTGAACATCTGAAATGACATTTTTCTCATCCAGAAAGAAAAAAAAATGCATCAACTATACATAAAGCTTAGTGCCTCTTTTCCCTCAAAAACCACTGACTGAAGATTTTTCCTAGACACTTTTACTTTCCCCACTTTTAATTACAAACTCCACAGGCAATGAGATAACCAGAAGAAAAAAGGTCACTGCGCTCTTTAGGGCGAGGGCGTGAGCAGACACAGCCATAGAGACCGTAGGCTCTTGGAGCCTGACTGTCTGGGTTCAAGCCATTTCCAAGGCGCTACAATTTCACCGACGTGACCTTGTTCTGCTTCCTCAACCTATCCCAGTCTCAGTCTCCTCACCTGTAAGATGGGCAAGTAACTCCACTAAAAGTGGCTCTGGTCTGTGGCCTGCACAACGAGAGAAGCAACTACTCCAAAGGTTGGTTGTGAGGATTAAATGAGACGACTCTCTAAGGAAAGGGCTTAACTGGCACCCAGGAGGAGGTAACACACGACGGTGACTGCTGTTACGTATTATTCACAAATACGGGATACGGGATAAAAAAGATTAGAGGGAAAGCCACAAGACGTGAAAAGCAAGCGATGTAGGGAAGGAACCGGGCAAAAGTGGAGCCCCCAAAGGGCCGCGTAGGGCGTGGAGACGGCTGAGTCTGTAGCGAGGGGTCCCGGGGAGTTCACTGCAGAGTGGAGGGGTGTCCACAAGGAAAACCGGGCCCGCGGCGGCGCGAGCAGAGCGGAAGGCTGAGGTCGGCCGAGACGGAGGTGGCATGAGGCTGAGGAGGGGCGCCAAGGCGGGAATGTCTGGCCCGGCCCACGGGCCGCGACCGCGAGAAGCGCTGGGCCCTGCGAAAACCACAAGGAGCGCCCCGAGAACACGTAGGAGGCCGCGGCCCAGCCCCAGCCCGGCTCTCTCATTCAAGCCACCTTCCCCTTCCCCCTTCTCCAACCCCATGCGGTCCTGGCCCCGAGCCGCCGCGGCTCCTCTGCCCGCCCTCCACCCCGCATCTTCGCGCGGCAGGCCTACCCCTGGGACTCCAGCATGCTGAGAAGTCATAAAGAGCGGGGCCCCTTACCTGAGCTCCCCCGGGTTGAATCGCTCACCGTCCCCCCCGTCCCCGCCACGCTCCGCCATTACAGAGGGCCGCGTTCATCCACCCGCCGACTCGGCGTCCCCTATTGGCCGGACGGATCATCAATCCCTTGCGATGGAGGCGGAGACATTGGGGACCTATGAAATGATTGGTATAACTTTCCATCAATTCTAGAGCTGAGGGCGGCATCTGCCTTACTATTGGTGGAAGGGCCCGCCGACTTTGAAAGCGGTATGGAGACAGCCGGTTGATTGGTCACCCGGAGGCTTTCTGGGAAATGAGACTTAAGCAACGAAGAACCGCGGCCGCCCTCTCGCGGTAAGCAGAACCAGGTCCTCCCACGTACTGCCGGGCCTGCGGTAGCCACGTGTCTGTCGGCTTCCAGGAAAGCCAATTGTGGAGCCATGTTGGCCACATACTGGCGATATTGGTTCAATCCGAGACCATTTCCATTGCCCGAGCCAATTAAAAATCGACCTGAGTCGCGCCTAAACCAATCGCAGAGTTGCTGTGGAAACGAGCTGTTTCCCAGATTTTCAGAACAAGAAGTCTTCAATCATTACCAGATTATAGCCATGTTGTTAAATAATATGTTAGTTAACTACAAGAACACCTCCTAATTTGTATTAAATAATTAGTTTGCAGGCTGATGAGTGTTAAAAGTTGGTGCATTAAGATAAGTTGGGGAGCAGAAGCCTCTTCATCACAATCTACAGTTTAAAGCATCTGTTCTTCAATTTTAAAATACACTTGTCTCAAATTAGCACACCCTAATACCCAGAAGGAATGCTGAATATTTATTTCTTCTTATTAAAGAAAAAAAAACCCAACAAAACTCTGGGGTTTCAAAGGCAAAATAAAGATGAACCTTATCATTAAGTTGCTCAAAATATTAAAATAACAGATAAATTTACTCAGACCTAACTATAAATACTGGGAACTATCCTAAGTACTTTCCATGCATTCTGTCTTTTAGACCTCATAAACACTGAGAGGTGGGTGCTATCAATGGCCACAGTTTATAGATGAGACCGAGGCACAAAGAAGCAACTTGTCCAAGTTCATGTAGCTTGTAAATGGCAGACAAGGCAGTATGGCAGGCAATAAAGCCTTATTTCTAAACACCGTGATCCAAGAAAATTGGAAACATACATCCACACAAAAGCTCGTACACAAATGTTCATGACAGCATTATTCGTAATAGCCAAAAAGTGGAATCAACCCAAACCATCCAATCAACTGGTAAGTGGATAAAGAAATGTGGTATATTTATACAAAGGAATATTATTCAGCCATATAACATAATGAAACACTGATACGTGCTATAACATGGATGAACCTTGAAAACACTATGCTAAGTGAGAAGCCAGACACAAAAAGATACATATTATGTGATTCCATTTCTATGAAGTGTCCAGAATAGGCAAATCCCTGGAGACAGAAAGTAGATCAGTGGTTTCCAGGAGGAGGGAAGGGTGATTGCTAATGGGGATGACGTTTCTGTGGGGATGATGAAAATGTTCTGAAATTAGATAGCGGTGATGATTGCACAAGATGGTGAATATACTAAAACTCATTGAATTGTACACTTTAATTTTTATTTTTTTTTTAAGATTTTTTTTTTTAATTGGGGAATTGCAGGGATGGGAACAGTGCTGGGGAATTGGGGGAAGGGGAACAGACAAGTTGCTGTCGTTTTTTTGTTCTTCAGTCTAGTTGTGGAGGACGTTGCTTCACTGGCCCAAGTTGGCACCATCATTGCGCTCTTCCCTGGCGAGGCAGATCAGTCGCCGGCTTCTGGACGGACGCTCACTGCGGCTGCTGGCCGCTCATGCTGGCTGCTGGCCGCTCACGCTGGCTGCTGGCTACATACAGTAGCCCATGGCAACCCACTGCAACAGGGACTGCAGCCTACGCCGTTGCCAGCGACTCACAGGCAGCCCAGCTCCAGGTTGAGCTGTTATTCAGCATCTTAGCTGCAGAGGGCAGTGTCACCGGCCCTCACATGTGGGATCCGAACCGGGGCCCTCTGGCATCCCAAGCGAGTTCTTAACCATCGCGCCACTCGGCCGGCCCACTTTTTTTTTTTTTTTAATATTTTATCGGGGAATCGGGGGAAGGGGAACAGATAAATTGCTGTCCTTTTGTTCTTCAGTCTAGTTGCTTCACTGGCCCATGTTGGTATTATCATTGCGCTCTTCCCGGGTGAGGCAGTCACTCGCCAGCCTCTAGACGACCGCTCATGATGGCTCTCGACAGCCCACACCAGCTGCTGGCCGCTCACGCTGGCTGCCAGCCACACATGGCAGCTTACAGCAGCCCACTGCAGCAGGGGCTGCAGCCTACACCATCGCCGGCGACTCAAGGCAGCCCAGCTTCAGGTCAAGCTGCTGTTCACTATCTTAGCTGTAGAGGGCAGTGTCACTGGCCCACATGTGGGATCCGATCCGGGGCCCTGCTGCTCAGAGCTGGAGTCCCAAGCCAGCTCCTAACCAACATGCCACTCGGCCGGCCCAAATTACACACTTTAAAAGGTGAATTGTATTGTATGTGAATTATATTTCAATAAATACCATGCTATACTGAATCCTAATTAAATATTCAAAATCAAGTATGATAAAATGTGATAAAAACTGAACACAGTTCTGCGCATGAGAAATTGGAGAAGGAAAAGATGATTGAAATTTCATTAATTATGTGACATTTGAACAAACTGGAGTTTAACTAAGATTGGGAGGTTAAATCCCTTTTTTCAACATCAGCATGCATCCCCAAGTCCTGGCAAACTATTAGAAAAATAATACTGGTATAGAAGCTCATGAAAAACTAATCCCCAGTGCTGGAAAAAAATAATTCAAAATGGATACCTAATAGACATTGAGTCAATGGCATATATAAAAGATGAAAACAAACTGTCAGTTTGAATGAATGGAAGAAACTGCTTGCAGATGTAATAAAAATTTTATTATTTGATAGTTTTATTGTGTTATGTATATCTCTCTACATTTTGATATTTATATTTTGTATTATTTTCACTTATATAGAGCAGACATGTATACATATGAATAGGTATTATATATACATATATATAATTTCATTGTTTCATTGCTATAGTTTACTCACATAAAACATGTCCTTGAAATTCAGCACTCAATAGATATATTAAAATACTGCAAATATCTAATCTGAGCTGTGTCTACAGTGAACCATTTTATTGAATCAATGTGAAAAAAAAAAGAATTAAAGAGACTCAATGTATCTTTTAAGAAACCAAATGGATTTTCCTGTAGTCAAAGCTTGATATCTCTCAGGGTACTAAAAATGCGCATAGCTGTAGAGAACAGAAAAACATACCATCCTTGCCCAATTGACTGCAGTTGAATTATAGACCCTAAAACTTAGTATATCAAAGTGTGGTGAAGAAACGGTGTTGGCTTAAGACTAATTAATATCATCAGGGCTCTCAGTCCTGGCCATGAAGTCACTCTTCAGAAGTGGTTCCAATGCAGAATCAGGCTTTTCTTTTCAATAACTACCATTATTATTATTATTTTTTAGCTGAGCCATCCTGCCACCTGTTGGCAGCTCAGCGGCTGCTCAGCTTGGGCCGGGACTCAAACTGCTGTTGCTCAGAGCTCACACTCTTGAGCGAGCTCTTAACCAACTGAGCCACTCAGCTGGCCCCAACTACCATTTTTGAACACCTATCTTAAACCCATGGTAGATATTTTGCACACACTATTTTTAATCCCCTTAACAGCCCTTCATGGCAGGTATATTGTCCCCATTTTACATATGGGGAAACTGAGACTCATAGAGATTACATGACTGGTGCAAAGTGACATTCACACAGATAATAAGAAGTAAAGCTAGGATTCAAGCACAGGTGTCTCTCACACCAAAGCCAGTTGGGGACTGCTAAATTCCTTATCTCACCCAAGCCAGAATGGTAGCATGGCTAATGTATCATTTCTTTCTCTTTTCTGTAGAGTGTAAATACTTTAAAAAGACTTTCCTCACTAAATTCCCAGCTCCTAGTGAAGTGTTCATTCACGTGTAAGGCCAGCACTGTCTACTGTACTGTGCAGCTATATTATTCCTTTCTGGATATACTGGTCTTTGAAACATTTAAAGAGATCTCAAAAGTGGAAAATGCCTGACTGGATATACCCACTGGCTGCCTCACAGGCAGTATGGGCAGCAGTTGCTAACAGCCTTTGGAGTAAGTGAGATAAGGGTTCTAGTCCTGCCTCTACTAACTACTGGCTGTGTAATCCTGGGCAAGTAAGTTACTTGATTTCTCATAGCTTCAGCTTCTTTATTTGTTTCACTCCCAACACTTAGGAAACTCCAAGAGTTCAGGGAGCCGTGAGCCAGGAATTGTGGATGAAGACCAAATATATATAAGAAATATATTTTGGTCATCTTATCAGACAAACTCAAAAAACATCTGGAGGCTTTATGAGAAATAAATGATAGAGATTTATTCAAGGGTCTTGGAGTTTGCAAACTGGGAAAACAACTAGGCAAAACCCCAGGAGTGTTCCAAAGAAGAAAGAAAACATTTCTTATAATAAACAGTACATTCTTGAAAATTACCAGTCTTGCATTCTTAGCCCTAGCATTGGCCCAAGACAGTTATCAGTCAGATGTCACAGAGTCAGGATGATGGATGCCAGATGGTCCAGAAGATAGGTGCCAGGAGGTCTGGTAACTTCCTGGTGGTCTAGATAATGGATGTCAGGTGGATGTATATGTGAGTCCTTCAGGGGATAATGAGAGGGTTATCTGGAGGTCCAGATGTATATCCAGGCATTGATGCAGGACTGGAAAGTTCAAAAAAGTTTAAGTTCCCAGGCTAATTAAAACAAGAATGGATTCTTTTTTCATGCTTCAACTAAACATCATAATGTTAATCATTTTAACAGTTTGGCTAAAATGACTCCATTTTATATATTCACCATCTTCACTCTTTCTTCAATCTGAATGACCAAATATATGTTTCTTATAAATCACAATATCACAGGTTGAGCCTACCTAACTGAGTTAACACTTACGGTGGAGAAACC